AAATAAATAAAATCTTAAAAAATAAAAATAAAAAAATAAAACTGGGCATGAATAAATAAAGTCTCTCAACTTCTGTTCAACAGCAAAATGCGGATGAGACCATTTTTGTTGGAAAATTCTGGAGACATTTGTGACTGAGTTTTTATATCTTTTATCTTTAGGATAATGGTATCTTTTCATGATCGTTCACTCTAGTGTCTTAGTTCCTTTTGTGACAAATGCTGCTAGACCCCAGAATGCCACCATTTTAATAAATGGTCTCTTATTCATGCCAGGTTACTGCCAGCATCTCATCTAATAATGTTTTGGTAAATGTGGTAATCAGTTTCATAGAAAACTAGGCAGATTTTTCCGGACAAAATTAGAACCCCTTTGAAGAAATAGGAAATTATCGGGTGCCTGACTGGCTCAGTCAGAAGAGCATGCAACTCTTTTTTATTTTTTTTTATTTTTATTTTTTTTATTTGTTTGTCAGAGAGAGAGAGTACAAGCAGGGGGAATGGCAGGCAGAGGGAGAAGCAGGCTCCCCACTGAGCAAGGAGCCTGATGCGGGACTTAATCCCAGGACCCTGGGATCACGACCCGAGCCAAAGGTAGATGCTTAACAGACTGAGGCACCCAGGCGTCCCTAGAGCATGCAACTCTTGATCTCATGAGTTTGAACCCCATGTTGGGTGTAGATATTACTAAAAAAAAAAAAGTAATAAACTAAAAAAAAAAGAAATAGGAAACTGTAGAGGTTCTAATACAACAGAATAACTACTTCTTGATTCAGTTTTGGACTAATTATTTCCTCAGATGTTTCATCAAAAGTTCCTAAGATAACATTCATATTAAGACTATATAAATTGGGCGCCTGGGTGGCTCAGTCGGTTAAGCGACTGCCTTCGGCTCAGGTCATGATCCTGGAGTCCCGGGATCGAGTCCCACATCAGGCTCCCTGCTCGGCAGGGAGTCTGCTTCTCCCTCTGACCCTCTTCCCTCTCGTGCTCCCTATCTCTCATTCTCTCTCTCAAATAAATAAATAAAAAATCTTTAAAAAAAAAAAAGACTATATAAATTAACATTGAAAGGAATTGCATGCAATTTTGGTCCATAACATCAGTGTCATACTCACTGTTAAGAATACTATCAGCAACTCTCACATCTATTATTCCATTTGTATTAACATCTTTAAGTTCAATCGAGTGCACAAAAAGTAGTTTATCCATTTTGAAATAAATCTTTTTTTTTTTAAGATTTTGTCTGTCAGCACAAGCAGGGGGGGAGCAGCAGGCAGAGGGAGAAGCAGACTCCCCGCTGAGCAAGGAGCCCAATGCAGGACTCACTCCCAGGACCCCGGGATCATGACCTGAGCCAAAGGCAGATGCTTAACCACTGAGCCACCCAGGTGTCCCTGAGATAATTATATCTTAAGAGCAAACTAAGCATCTTATAAAATCAAGAGTTTTCACTTTGGTAACAAAATAATTTATTAGGCCCTTGCAGAAATACTAGTGGTAATATTTTGGTAGAAATTAAATTACTTGAGCTAAAAAATAAAGCCACTATTTGTTAAGAAAGGTGTTATTAGGCTTATTCAAAACCATAAGTAAACTGTTTTAAAGTGACAGTATGTACACTCTATATGGGTTGTTCGGGGTATAGAACTAAAAAAAATTAACAGCAGTGATTTTTATTTTGTTTATAATGAATTCTTGCCTCATTTCTGCGCATATGGGCCCTTAATTGTTTCATTTCCTCCAATATGTTCGCCAGTGTAGGGTTAATTTGTAGTACAGTGCTTACTTAGTCTTGTGAATGCTCTTTCCTCAATAGGTATCTCAGGTTGCCAGTGTTACAATCCCAGATACTTTGCTGAACAGACTACCTGTTCATACAGGAGCTGCATTGTTGTATAGCCTCATTCCTTCCGATGGGTGTGGAGCAGGATTAAAGCACACTTTATAGGGGTTCTAATTGTAGATGCCTAATTGACTTGATGAATAGCAAATGCTAAAATTTAAACACACACACATACACATACACACATAAACCTGTTTCAGAGCTGATCTGCATGACAGAACAAATGCCTCACAGGTGTTGAATGCTTACAAGATAAAAGAGTACTCTTTCCATATTTCCCAAGAATTCTCTTTTGATGTTTATATGGATTTTCTATCTCATTGTTTCTTTTCTTAAAATGGTCATGGCAGGAATCTATTTCATGTTTGACTACACTGAATTTTAGAAGTCAGCTAAAATTAAAAATAAAATCTATCAATGAGTAAATTTTCACACACTTTGGGAAGAAAAGAGAGTGAAAAACTACTGACTTTAGTCTTTAGCCTAGTCAGGTCATAAGTTCTTAATTCTTCAGGAATGATTTGATGCTTTACTAAGTACCTTCAAGTTCTCGTGAGTTTGTTGTTAACCTGAATTTGACAGATGGAAAAGATTTTTTTAAAAAAAAAGATCATAAAAGTTTTAATTCTTAACATTAAAATATTTTCCTTTATGTTTTATATTTTAACAGTTTCCCACCTGTTAGGGCAGATCTTTTCCATAAATTTTTTTTAGCTTTTTATTTTGAGCTTATTGTCGGTTCACATGAAGTTGTAAGAAATAAGACAAAGAACTGTCCTGTACTCTTTACCCAGTTTCCCACAATGGTAGCATATTTTATAGCTATAGTATCATAGCACAACCAAGAAATGGACATTGATACAACTGATCAACCTTACTCAGATTCCTCTAATTTTATATGCACTCACTTGTAAATGTGTCCGTGGTGTTTTCTACGCAGTTTAATCTCGTAGATTCCTGTGACTACCACCAAAGATCCCTTACACCAGTTTCTTAAGTTCCTGACCCCCTTTCTACCACCCCAACCCCTCCAATTTGTGGCTACCCATGATCTGTTCTTTATCTCTATAATTTTTTCCTTTTAAGAATGTTATGTAAGTAGAATCACATAGGATATACTCTGAGATTGCCTTTTTTTTCAGCCAGCATAATTTCCTTGGAAACCATCCAAGTTGTTGCATATATCAATAGTCCACTCCTTTTTATTGCTGAATAGTGTATGTGCTATAAGTATGCACCAGTTTTTTTTTTCTTTTTAACAGTTCACCTGTTGAAGGACACATGGATTGTTTCTAGTTTTTGACTATTATGAATAAAGCTACTGTGAACGTTTGATTATAACTGTTTTCACTATTCATAATACTTGTTTATTCAAATTTTAGGCTGTAAATATAAGGGTAAAATTGTATCATACCAGTTGGACATTTCCTAGAGGTGAAACTTGAGAAATAGGGCCAAAGTCTAACGCAAAAAAATTGTCCAGGGCCTTTATTTTTCTATAACATCTAGATTTCCTGGCAGCACATCATTACTACTTGGCGTAATAAGAGGTGACTTTCCCTTCAGTATTTATATGACTTTTAACCTTCAGCACCATGGAGGGGGATTGGTGGGGAAATGTCTTAAGTTTTTTAAAACTCTTATTTGTCTAAATGATATTGTTCAAAAGCTTGTCCTAAATTAAACCAATAATGAAAAGTCCTGTTCTTAAAAATGACAAATTTATCAATGTTTCTATAGGTATTACATGGAAAGCTTTTCGAAATGTATAACTTATTAGAATCAATAAACTACCAAAGGCAAATATTAAACCTTTGATTTTTCAAAAATTAGTTAATACCTATTTATTGGGGACTAAACCTACCCCAAATAAAAGAAATTCTTGAGTAGATATAGAACTTCAAATCTTGCTAAGCGTTATTTTTAAAAGTAAAATAAAATACCCACAATTGAGAAAATTGTAGAAAGGTAAAAAAGATTGATTTAGGAATCAGAAAAAGTAAACACAGAAGCTTTCCTCCCTTTATGATAATCTTATTGCAGAAAATAGAAGTCATAGAGAAAATAGAAAACTAAATAGTTTAGTGTTGCTAAATAGACATTTCTTTTTACTTAATGATCTTAATAACTATTCTAAAAACAAGTGTTTATATCATATTTTACTTAAACGTATCCCTATTTTAAGCAGTTTTATTGCTGTAAATTGTTCAGTATTCTTTGTGACTATGAATTTCTCTATGGTTTGGATTATATTCTTAGGTTGGAATCCAAGAAATGAGATCCTGATGAAGGAGTCCTATTACATGTTTCTAAATTGCTTTCCAAAAGAATTGTATCAATTTGTAATACCTCCAGCAAAGTATAGGAATATAGTTTTACAACACTTTTATCAACATATTGGGTATTACAATCTTCATAATTTTGCTAAGTAATTGTTTTGGTTTGAACTTATAGTTAGTTGCTAGTAGTGTTGGATAGATTTTCATATTTGTTTAATGACTGTTTTTCTCCTTTTGTTAATTATTGTTTCTAAAAATTAGAAATGTCATCCTATTTTGTTCATATCCTTCCTTGCAGTTTCAGTGCCCTTCAGCCTGCTTTCTTCATTATAACTACCTGAATCCCATAGGCAGTGGTCTTCTCTTATGTTTCGTGTCAGACTCAAAATTAAAAATACATATAACCGCTATCTTGAGTGTCCTTTGTTAAGTACTTTAGCATTAGCAGTTTTGCTCCTTGTCCAAGACTTCCTGCCATAATCTATTTTAATCCCAAAAGACATGAACCTATATAAGCATGATTGCTGTTAGCAAATGCATAGGCTATGTCAGAACATAGGCCTTCGTTTATAGTGAACCTCTAATTATATGCTTGCCCCTGCTATTATAAAGGAAGTAACTCACTTTAGGTAGAGAAAATTTTATTCTACTTAGCTGTCACAGACTAAAAGCAGTAATGTTGCAGATATACTTTTGTGACCTCAGGATACAGGTAAGGGAAATACACTCTCCAAACTAATAGCACCTGGCTCATTATTCAGAGCCCAGAGTCGAGTGACTTAATAGTGTAGCATTAGACTCATAAACTCAGATCAACTGCTTTAGAAGTGGTAAATGTATAAATAAAATACTGTGGGTTTTTTTTTTCTTTTTCAGGTTTACAAGTAAAAGTAACCAAACTGAAAAAGGAACGAATTTTGTAAGTATTAGTATATAACACTGATTTCTTATTTTTAAAGTAATTGATACTGATATCCTATTTGACCTCAGTGTCTTATTTATAAGAAATTAGCTTTACAGCGTGGACCTTGGATAGTTGACAATGAGTTTTTCAGAATTCTAAGGTAAAAAGACTAACTTAATTTTTAGTATATCCTTAGTTAATATTTGCTTGTTTTATATTTTAATATAATTTTTATATGTGCACACATATAAATGGATGTGTATGTATATATAATTTTTTTCCATAAGGTATTTATTAAGATGAGAACTGGTCTATACATTCATTTTGATCTGTCAATAGCATTCTTTTCTCAATGTGATTAACACCTGGAATTTAAGATACAGCAAGAGGAGAACAGAATAATTCTGGGATTTCTGAACTGATAAAAGAAATGGGAACAGGGGCGCCCGGGTGGCTCAGTCATTAAGGGTCTGCCTTCGGCTCAGGTCATGGTCCCAGGGTCCTGGGATCGAGCCCCGCATCGGGCTCCCTGCTCGGCGGGAAGCCTGCTTCTCCCTCTCCCACTCCCCCTGCTTGTGTTCCCGCTCTTGCTGTGTCTCTCTCTGTCAAATAAATAAATAAAATCTTAAAAAAAAATGGGAACAAATGAGACCCCTTTATTTAACCAGTTTGAAATTACCAAAGGTTCCCCTGAATTGTTTTGGTTATTAAGCCTAGAATCAGATCTGATTTTCTAAGTCAGAAGCAGATTTTATCCATGGTTCTTTAGGGCTTCCACATTCAGGAATCTGAAACAGATGGCATCATAGAATATTATTGCTCATAACAAAAATTAATATTGTGACTAATATTGCATTTGCATTATGGTATATACATACCAATGGGCCTCAGTTACTTCGTATTTCTAAAGCTTCCAGGGCTCTAACCAAAAGCTGGAGTTAACAGCTACCCATCAAAACACACCCAGTTGTTTTTCTCCATTATAATCTGAAAATGAAAATTGGGAAGTTTTCTTTCACACCCATCATGTATGGGAAATGACTTAGATTCAAAAATATCATAAATTTTTAAAACAGGGTTTTTTTGAAGAATGATTTTATAATCCTATTTAATTAGCAACATTTTTAAGTGCTTTGTATTATTGAGAGTGTACATATTCCTGCCTTACAGGTGTCATTTTAAATATCCTAACCATAGAATAATCCATTTCTCTGTTTCTTATGTTTAGTTCCTGCAATTGAGAGATGTTTCTTAACTTAGAAATTAAGCCTTTTCTGAATAGTAAACTTAGGGTGTGTATCTTATTAGTTAGGATTTTGCAAAGTTCTCAAAGTATCTCCCCGTGAGATACTTACTAATTACAAAAGGCAAAATTATAATATTACAGCAGAGAAACCAGGCAGAATTCATCTCAATTAAACTACCAAAGTTAACTAGATATCAGATGTGTCAGTCTCATATACCCCCTGATTTGATGCACTAAGAAGAGCACAACATTACTCCTATAGTATTCTTACCAAAAATGCATAGCCCATATTTTATCATGGGGAAACATAAAAAAACCCAAGTTGAAGGACAAAGTAACTGGCCAGTACTTTTCAAAGATGTCAAGATTGTGAAAGACAAAGAAAGATGGACAGACTATCACAGATGGAAGGAGACATGACATTAAATGCAGTGTAGGGTCCTGGATTAGATCCTGGACAAGAAAAATGACATTAGAGGGACAATTGGAAAAATTTGAATAAGGTCTGTAGATTAGTTAACAGTATTGTATCAGGGGTGCCTGGGTGGCTCAGTCGTTGAGCATCTGCCTTTGGCTCAGGTCATGATCCCAGGGTCCTGGGATCGAGTCCCACATTGGGCTCCCTGCTCAGTGAAGAGCCTGCTTCTCCCTCTCCCACTCCCCCTGCTTGTGTTCCCTCTCTCGCTGTCTCTCTCTGTCAAATAAATAAATAAAATCTTTAAAAATTTTTTTTTAAAAAACAGTATTGTATCAATGTTCATTTCTTGATGTTCATAGTTGTATTATGGTTATACAAGATGTTAACATTTTGAGAAGTTGAGTGATAGATATACAGGTACTCTGTTCTATGTTTATAACTTGTTTATAATAAATCTGAAATTATTTTAAGATGAAACATTTAAAAAATGAAAAAAAAACTAACATTCATCCCCTGAGTTCAGAGAGATCAACTTCTCTTCAAGCAGCTGTTGGATATTGAAGAAATTCAATATTCTTTTAGCAAGGAATGAAAAAGAAATGGCTGTTGGATAGGTGACCAAAAATGTCACAAGTTAGACTAGTCCTACTCCTACAGTTCAGAGACTGAACTGCAGCTCTTAGAGCATGATTTCCTTTTATGGCACAAATTACCTTTTGTTTCTGTGGGCAATAGGGATTTCAAAAACTCTCCAGCCTTTTAATGTACTTTAATTAGTATTGATGGTATCACCTTATGTTTAGGTATGTCAGAATTCTCTTCATGGTTGCAGAAGAAAACTCTATATGTAAATTCCTATGATAAGAGTTATTCCAAAAATATTGAAACTGTGTCAGTTGGATGAGGAAAACAAGATCATTTTCTTGGTTAATAAGTAAAATTTCTCTTTTTTAATCCACTTGAAACCAAAAAGGTGAAACATTTTTGTTTTACTTAGGAATAAATACTTTTCAATGGTGAAAATATTTTGAGTCATTTGAGACTTAAAATTATGAAGTGTATTTATTGTTTTTTTGTCTTCATTTTTATTTATAGCCCAGCTAGTGTTGGTTGCTACAAACATTGCTAATCAGAAGATAAGTACCATACCAAACATTGCCTCTGGCCTTTTTTTTTTTTGAGAGAGAGAGAGTGAGAGCATGCGCGCATGAGTGCACAGGCAGTGCACGAGCAGGGGGCGGGGCAGAGGGAGAGGGAGAGAGAGCATTTTAAGCAGGTTCCACCTCAGTGTGGAGCCCAACTCTGAACTTGATCTCACCACCCTGAGCTCATGACCTGAGCCGAAATCGAGTGAGATGCTTAACTGACTGAGCCACCCAGGCGCTCCACCTCTGCTTTTCTAATACCAAATGTGTAATGTTTCAGAGTTGATTAGTAGTTAGACAATGAGTTCTTTATATTGTGCCTTGGTTCCGTGTTGATTAACGATCTTGTTAATGCTGGATTAACAACCATTGATTAGAATGACATTCTTTAATCAAAATGTTGGTCACTTTTAAGAAGCAGTACTGAGGGGCGCCTGGGTGGCTCAGGCAGTTAAGCGTCTGCCTTCAGCTCAGGTCATGATCCCAGGGTCCTGGGATTGAGCCCCGAGTCAGGCTCCCTGCTTAGCAGGGAGTCTGCTTCTTCCTCTGCCTGCTGTTCCCCCTGCTTGTGCTCTCTCGCTCTCTCTGTCGAATAAATAAAATCTTAAAAAAAAAAAAAGCAGTACTGAAACCCAGAAATTACCATATTTGCTATTTGATTGCAGATTTTAAATTTCATTCACTGAGTGTTTTTAAAGGAATTTAGTTTTATTAAAATGGATTCTTCATGTAGGACTAGGGATTCTATTTTCTAAAATATTACTATTTTAAATGATAGATTTATAACTATAAGGTAGTATTTCCTCTTAGCTTGAATCAGATTTCCCTGCAATTGAATGATGACACATAATTAGAAGCAATCTAGATTTGCTTATCATGAATGTACTTTTTTATTACAGACTTTTTACACAGAATGTATTTCTCCATACCTATAACCAGCCACATGAAAAACTTCTTAAATTTGTAATGACTGCCAAATTTTACTTTCTCAAAAATCATCTATAACACTTTTGAATTTTTTTTAAGATTTTTTTTATTTGAGAGAGAGAGAAAGAGAACGAGCACGGGGGAGAGGGAGAAGCAGACTCCCTTCTGAGCAGGGAGCCTGATGTGGGACTAGATCCCAGGATCCTGGGATCATGACCTGAGCTGAAGGCAGATGCTTAACTGGCTGAGCCACCCAGGCGCCCCACACTTTTGAATTTTAAAGAATGGAAACCCAACTGGTTTTTCACTAGCTGATGATAATGCCTTACTTCACTTGTAGTTTACAGAGTCATTTGATCCTCTTTGCAACCTTATAATATATATATATTGTAATTGCTTTGTACCTGTGTACGTCAGGTAGCTTGGGGTTGTACATTTTGGAAGCACAGGTAAGTAACTGAATTCCCTTTATTTTTACTGCCTATATTACCATAATCCCCCTATCTCAGTATATTTTACAGTATACAGTTAGGGTGTAAGAACACTCAGGATGTCTTGTTTCCATATTGTTAGAATAGCTGTATTTATAAGGTCAGGATTCCCTATCTTTAGGGATTCCCACCTGTAAGAAGTAATTAGAAGAGGAGTCAATAATTATACCGTATTTTGTCCATCACTTGGTTGTTTCAGACCTGTGTTTTGATGATAGTTGTCTCTACACATGGTTAATGCTTTTCTCTTACATAAATTCATTTATAAAATTAAACATGTGAAAACGTTGACAACTGAATATTATGAGATTGTTTTGAAAAGTTATACTTAAGCTGGGTCCACCTGATTGTTTTTACCTGCTTGTGAACATGGACTACATCTGTTTTTGCCAATGTATATCCATTACTTACCAACCAATTGACTGTCTTAATGGCCAATTAGTGAATCTGATCATCCTATTTATTTGCCATTCTTTAAAGAAAAATAGTAACTACTTTAATTTCCACTTAGGAAATATAAAGATAACATTTACCATATTCAGCCATCCAGCTTTATAATAATCAAGATAATTCCCTTTAAAGCTGCCAAGAAATTTAAAAATTCTAAAGTATAAACTACCCACCTACAAATAAACCCTTCTAAGTTATTTTTTTTTTTAAGATTTTATTTATTTGAGAGAGAGAGAGCACAAGCAGGGGAAAGGGGCAGAGGCAGAATAAGAAGCAGGCTCCCCTCTCGATCCGAGGACTCCGGGATCATGACCTGAACTGAAGGTAGACACTTAACCAGCTGAACCACTCATGTGCCCCTTAAGTTATTTTTGAAATTAAGAAAATTTAAAAACTAAAAAGAAAAAAAAATCCTGCAGTTGTGCAGGACTGTTCTCATACTTTTAATTCATTATAAAAAATAAAGTTTATGGGGAGTATAACTTGAATACATACAATTTTCTCCATTTTCTTTATTCCTAGTAGTACCTATGTCTTTCACTACAGTGCTCCTCTATCCCTCCAGTATATGACATTGATTTTAAAGTAATGAGAAGACTGGCATATGTAGTATATGGGTTTGTTATCTATCATTTTACAGTTACATTTTCATATACAAGATTTATCCACTTTTACATGCCAGTTATTATTTACATGCCATTTATTTAAAATGTTCATTTACCAGGGCACCTGGGTGGTTCATTTGGTTGGGCATCTGCCTTTGGCTCGGATCATGATCCTGGAGTCCTGGGATTGAGCCCTGTGTCTGGCTCCCTGCTCAGTGGAGAGCCTACTCCTCCCTCTGCCCCTCACCCCGCTCATTGCTCTCTCTCTCTCAAATAAATAAAACTTTAAAAAAAATAAAATGTTCATTTACCTCAGAAAGACAGAAAGCTACCTACCAGGAAAATGATACTGAGTCTCCAATAAAATGCTGCCTATGGGATGGATACATTGAGCTTATTTTAGATAAGTGAGGTTGGTTATTTGTTTTTGTTTTGTTTTGTTGTTTAAAGATTTATTTAAGAGAGAGAGAGAATGAGCTGGGGGTGGGGGGGGAGAGGGAGAAGCAGACTCCCCACTGAGCAAGAAGTCCACCGTGGGGCTCGGTCCCAAGACCCTGGGATCATGACCTGAGCTGAAGGCAGACCGTTAACTGACTGAACCACCCAGGCACCTGAGTTTGGTTATTTGTATAGTAGTAACTAACTTCCTTTGGATGACCAAGGTAGAGCTATCTTACAATATATTTCACTTTAATTTTTTTGAAAGTGCATGACTGTTTTTTGTAGCATTTAGAATTCATCATTTTGCTTTCTTAAGGAATTTGTTAAATTATTCCTGTAATTAGTAGAACCCCGTTATGTTTACCACTGAGTTGACATGAATATTTTGTTAAGTAATTAAGGTTAGTTTTAATTTGAACTTAGGCCATCAGTCTATTTGGTTTTAAAACAAATTCTGTTATGTTCTGAATCATTCTAAATAGACAGGAATAGAATATGTAGATGTAGGATAATCAGACATAACATTACTATTACAAAGTTTTCTCTTTTGTTCATAATTTAAGAAAAAACATTTTGCTATGAACTTTTCATTCCTTTAGAGAGAGAGAGAGAGAGAGTGTGTGTGTGTGTGTGTGTGTGTGTAACTCAATATATGATCTGGAATGTAATATTTGATTGTTATATTTTTATGATACAGATTTTTTTTTAAGATTTTATTTATTTATTTAAGAGAGAATGAGAGATAGCACGAGAGGGAAGAGGGTCAGAGGGAGAAGCAGACTCCCTGCTGAGCAGGGAGCCTGATGTGGGACTCAATCCTGGGACTCCAGGATCATGACCTGAGCTAAAGGCAGTCGCTTAACCAACTGAGCCACCCAGGCGCCCCAGATTATTTAGATTAAATAATAAATTCAAATGGGTACTGGCAGCTAACAATCTGTTAACTTAGAAAATGTGTTCAATTTTTCCCCCAAATTTAGACAAGTTCTTAATTTGGTTATATTTGTTTACAAAGTAGGATCAATGAAAGCTTGGTACTGCCTCTGAATTAAATATATTTTCTAGAAGTATTAGACAATCTTTTCTTTAATTGAGAAACAGCCAAATCAGTGAGTTTCAGCTGTCACTATATTATTTCCAAAATTTTAAATATCTACATACACTACAGAACTATATGCAGTAGGCTGTTACTCTTAGATGTATTGATTTTTCATTTTTCATTTTTCACTCAATATCAATTATTCCACCAGTATGTACAAAGTACCCTCTATTTTGGGTATCTGACATTTTTACTTAGTTGTTTAACTGTTTTGCTGCCAGTGATATTACATTCTAGCCGTTTTGACGTCTACTTTTCGTAGTGGAGTAGTTTGTCATTTGATATTTTAGACCCTTGGGACTGGGGAAGATGTTTCAGTCACAGTATCTTTTTCATCTTCAAGACCATAGACAAAATCCGAGTCAAATTTCTAATGGGTTTTCTTAGAATTAAATTATATGCATACTTTATATAATAATGTGATTTTTAAAAATATGATGGAGTGGTAGAATATGACACTACCTTGGAAAGTAGTCAGGTAATCTACTAGAAGAAAATTTTAGATGTCTTTGTTTTTTCTTGACTATAAAATCACGATGATAAGCACTTAAATAGAACTTACTAAGTGCTTGTACTGTTCTGCATGCTATACATACATTAGTGTTTAGTCCTTGCAAATGTCTTATTAGAAAGATATTAATGTATCCACATTTCTTGAGGCACAAAGAGTTAGGTGACTTGCATTAGGTCACACAGCTGATAAGTGAAAGCTGAGATTCAGACCTAGGTGTTAGGATATAGGGTTCATATGCTTCCACTCCACTATTAGCTCTGGCTTAAAAGTAACATCGAATAAGTTTAGGCAATACAGAAATTAATAAGATAGAAAGTATAAATCACCCGTAGTTGGAATAGAGATGAGTGGAGGTATCTGTTACTCACATTAACAAATGTAGACAAGGGGCGCCTGGGTGGCTCAGACGGTTAGGTGTCTGCCTTCGGCTCAGGTCATGATCCCGGAGTCCTGAGATCGAATCCCGCATCGGGCTCCCTGCTCCTTGGGAGCCTGCTTCTCCTTCTGCCTCTCTCTCTCTCTCTCTGTCTCTCATGAATAAATAAATAAAAAAAAATCTTTAAAAAAAATAAATTAAAAAAACAAATGTAGACAAAATAATAAAAAACAATGTACATTTTTATAGCTTTTTTGACAACATTGAGTCAATAATGGCATCAGAATCCACTCCTTCGTCTGTGTTCCAGCATCATATAATGAATGCCTGGTACTTAGAACAATACCTTCATAGTACATAAAATACAGAACAAATTCTAGTACAATTTGAACTATGATTAACAAGATATTTAAACTATACCTTTGAAGTTATTTATTTTAATACAAGAAATACATGTTATGGTTGAGACCATACTTTGCAGTTCTTACAGTAGAATTATCCTGTTGTGATGATTATCCTATTAAGATTTTTTTAAAAACTTATTTCTTGACTTTTAGAGACGCACAGAGACTAGAGGAATTCTTCACCAAAAATCAACAGCTGAGAGAGCAACAGAAAGTCCTCCATGAAACCATTAAAGTTTTAGAAGATCGGTGAGTCTGGTTCTTGGGTATTCTCGAGTAAGAGGTGATTTTCCCCCCTTCATAGAACATTGGTTTTAGTTTATAAACAGTTCTGGGACTAAAAGTGCCCTTTCCCAACCTGATGTCAACTTTGGATAAATACTTTATGAAATTAAGGATATACACTTACAAATTTGTTTTTTATTAATTACAGCAATCTCATCAGTTTACCCTTTAAAGAATATTTCTTTATCTGGTGTTTGATACAGGACGAGCTTAAGAATAGCTCTAATTAATTAGAATTAATGTTTTAATTCATTTGATGTCTGAATTCCATTTTTACATCTAAGTAGGTGGAAACTGCTTCACAATTCCCTATTTTCATATTTCTGCCTTTTTCCCCTGTATATTTCTCTATTTGCAGGCAGTCTAGGGATTCTTCTTTATGAATATTTCTGAGATAATGCCTATCACTTACTTTACTTCCACAAACATACTTTATTTCTCACTTCTATGAGATTAACACCCTAGATTTATTTTTTATTTTTATTTATTTTTTTTTTAAAGATTTATTTATTTGAGAGAGAGAGAGAGCATGAGAGGGGAGAGGGTCAGAGGGAGAAGCAGACTCCCCGCTAAGCAGGGAGCCCGATGTGGGACTCGATCCCGGGACTCCAGTATCATGACCTGAGCCGAAGGCAGTCGCTTAACCAACTGAGCCACCCAGGTGCCCAACACCCTAGATTTAGAAAAGCATTACAGGAAAAAAAAAAAAATAGAAAAGCGTTACAGGATTTGCTATATGCCCATCTGAACTGTAAGTGCTATTTAAGACCTTGAACTACCTATAACAAATAAGGTTTCTTGCATTTACAGTTAACAATTTTCTTTTTGTTATTTTGTATATGTTACAGAAGAGCTGGTGGTTTGAGTTTGCCACTGTACCTTTAGTGGTGGAATAATCTACTCTGCACCTGTGCAAACTACAGTTGTATACTTGTCTTCCACAACTGCTGTCCCAGAGGATGCACATTTACCGGAATAGGCAGCCTGTTGCTCCATATGCTTCAGAATCATAGCTGTACATTTGAATTTCAAGCTTATACTGTGCCCTTAATACAGATTCATAAATATTTGAGTCCTTACTACGATCTAGGTGTTGCTGTTAGGTGCTAGGGATAATACTGTCCCTGGTATGAGCTGATATTTAATTTTCAAAGGTTTGGAGTGAGTCATATAAATAAGATGATTTCAGATTGTAAGTGCTATGAAGAAATACAATTGAATGATGTAAGTGACCACAGACATTGATTGGGAAGTGAAGGGATGGGTGTCAGGGATGGCCTTTCTGAGGAGGTGCCCTTTGAACCAAGACCTGAATGATACAGATAAGAGCTAGTCACTTGAAGAACTGGAGATAAAAAGAGAACAGACAAATGCAAAAGTTTTAGGTAGAAATAAGTTTTGAAATATTTGAAGAATAGGAAGTCCACTGTGGTTCTAACTTAATGAATAGGAGGATGAATGATAGGAGATAAGATTGGAAAGGTGGGAGTAACTAGATTATGTAGGATCATAGGCAAAAAGTTTGGATTTTAATTGCAATGGGAAGCAATTGGAGGGTTCAAGCAGGGAAATTACAAAGGGATATGAGCAGGTATTGACAGCATCTGTCATATCCACGTGGAGATGTCAAGTAGATAGTTGTATATGTGGGTCTGAAACTAACTAGAGAGATTAGAGCTAGAGAAAAGAATTTGAAGGTCATCATCTGCATATGAATGGCACTGAAAACATAGGGGCACCTGGGTGGCTTAGTCATTGGGTGTCTGCCTTTGGCCTGGGTCGTGATCCCGGGGTCCTGGGATCGAGCCCCGCATCGGGCTCCCTGCTTGGCAGGAGGCCTGCTTCTCCCTCTCCCACTCCCCCTGCTTGTGTTCCCTCTCTCACTGTCTCTCTCTCTCTCTGTCAAATAAATAAATAAAATCTATAAAAAAAAATAAAAATAAAAAAACTAAAACCTAGAGACTGGATAAGAGATCTAAGAACATCTTAAAGCATATTGGAAGAGGATTGGAAGAGGTGTTAGGGCTGAATCCTTGGATATACTAATTAAGGTTTAATGAAGAATAAGGACCCAGCCAGCAAAAAATAAATTGTGAAAGAAACATTATTACGGGTGGAAGAAAAGCCAAGAATATATGACATGACACTAAGGGCTACTTTGAAGATTAAATGAGATTAATACAAGTAAAAGTACATAATAGGGATTTTTAAAAACTTACGGTATCCCTCCTAACTGGTGACTGTGATTCCAGCCACTTGCACTCCAGTCTGTACTGTGTGTCATAGCCAGACCCATTCTCTCTCTAGCCGAGGTATCAGGAAGCTGGAAAGTCATTTGTCCCCCTTACTCTTCCCCAGTCCAGGATCAAAAAGGAAATCATCAGCTACTCTTCTCTTGGTTCCTTGTTTTCTCTGGATATGTAGTGGAGCATTTGGGAGGAATGGTGGAGAGAGAGCACATCTTTCTCAGGCTTTAACTCTCCAGCGATTGATACGTATTGAGGGCTCCTTTGTACCCAGATATCTAACACCCAATCTTCACACTAATGCTGTAAGGTAGATGGTAAACCATTTTACATGTGAGGAAACTGACTGGCAAAGATTTAAGAAACCATCCCTAGATCACAGTTAATGGATAATTAGGTTAAATTTGACCTTACAAACCCCCCGGTTTCTGTTTCCCTGAAGCCTTGTCTGTATGTTGTCTTAATTTTGTAAATGTTATGTAAATGACTGATCATCTCAAAGTATTTGTACTTGACCTAAAGTTACCGAAACAGATCCTCTGAAATATTAACTCCCCAGCATTGTTCATTTTTCTAGTCTGGCTTTTTTGGGAAGTTTTGTTTTTTTGTTATTTCTCTTTTAAATTGCTACTATGTTCTGCCTTTAAATGTGTAAGGTAGATAACATTTGGTAAAGTTCTGCCTTACTTAAAATTTCATTTTAGTTTTATATTGTATGAGAATGATACCTAGAGCAAGCTTTAAAAATCTATAAAAATTAATGTTTTGCTAAGACCCTTAAAAAGCAAAGTATGGGGACGCCTGGGTGGCTCAGTTGGTTAAGCGACTGCCTTCGGCTCAGGTCATGATCCTGGAGTCCTGGGATCGAGTCCCGCATTGGGCTCCCTGCTCAGCAGGGAGTCTGCTTCTCCCTCTGACCCTCCCGCCTTTCATGCTCTCTCTCTATCTCATCTTCTCTCTCAAATAAATAAATAAAATCTTAAAAAAAAACAACAACAAAGTGTGTTTTGTTAAAATTTCTAAACAGTAATTTGGAGACTTGCTGCTTACACTTCATAGAATGAAACAATTTTTATTTTTATGCTAATGTGAAAACATCTTGAGATGTTTAGATGAGAGGAATTACTCTGTAAAGGTAAATTAGATAATAAAAAGTTACAATTTTATGTGGCTGCTTTATGTTCTACTTCTGCTATTATTATAACAGACTTTCCTTAAAGGAAACAAAGTATTTCACTAAATCTAAGAAGTAATCACTGTGTGGAGAAGTAGATAGAATGCATTAAAAAAAATCTGAACGAAGGAGTTAAACCATGATTGTCTAATAGATTTTAATATTTTTAAAAGCATTTTTGGCAGTCAGGAAACTCATATTTCATCTGTCATTGAAAAGGAAAATTTGTACTCATAATCAGAGGATTTATGGTTGTGCAACTATTTTTCAAATACTGGACTAAATGTCTTCTTTTTGTCCTACTCATAGGTTTGAATTTAAATATATTCTTCAGGAGACCTTCTCTGACTTTCTATACTGGGTTTACTTTCATAGTACCCCGTATTTCCACTGTCATGATGTGAATCATATTTTGCCATTACTTTTTTATTGCCTCTCTTTTTCTAATACACTGTAAACTCTTTAAAAGAAAAGATACTATCTTGGCCACTGTTGTGTTTCAGCACGTACAGTACTCATTGTAGGTGTTCAGTAAACCCTTTTGAATGAAAATGAATAAATTTGAGGAAATCTTTTTGGAGTATAACAAACAATTGAGCATACTTGTTAATCTGGTAAGTTTTCCAATTGCAAAATGAAAGGTTTTACTTCTTCATCCCTATGAACAAACTGGAATTAACTCACAATGTGTGTTGTTTTTTGATCTTACAAGTAGAATTACTCTTCTTTCCCTGTTACCTGTATATAACGACTGAAATTGCATTCATTCTCCTGTGAAATTGAGGCTGTTTCTTTCTCTGATTGCATCAGTGGAAAATAGGCAAGAGGAAAGCAGTGGAACCTTGCTGATGGAAATAGGAGCCAGCATTTTTTCTCACATCCATTTAAATTTAAACTAGGATCTGGAAGCAATCAAGAGTTGACTCTTTTCCACAGATACTATCAAGAATGGCAGTTAACTGGAGAAAACTAGAATAAACAAGCTAGGGAATATTGTTTCACTTTATAACTGTCTATATCAGTGGCATTTTTGAACTTGGAAACTAAGGGTTCCAAGGGATTGTTTTTGATGATACGTCATGACATTTTAATGTATTAGATTTGATTTCTTAGAAACAATAGTGTTGGGCACCTGGATGGCTCTGTCGTTAAGCGTCTGCCCTTCGGCTCAGGTCATGATCCCAGCGTCCTGGGATCGAGTCCCACATCGGGCTCCCTGATCAGCGGGAAGCCTGCTTCTCCCTCTCCCACTTCCCCTGCTTGTGTTCCCTCTCCTGCTGTCTCTCTCTCTGTCAAAAAATAAATAAAATCTTAAAAAAAAAAAAGAATAGTGTTCAGTTTTTACTGACAAACTGACTAGTAGAATGACATTGAAATAATTCATTAGAATTGTTGGATGCCATTTACCTCCTTCAGTGTTTTTCAATGACTTTTCTTTTTCTGTTTTTTATTTTAATTTTTATTTATTTTTTAAGTAACCTCTACACCCAAAGTGGGGCTTGAACTCACAACGCTGAGCTCAAGAGTCACATGTTCTACTGACT